TCTCTCCCAGCTAAATAAAATCCTTATCCCAAAATTCAAGCACCTCCACAATCAGAACTTTCCAAAATCTTCTATCTAAATGTTCTGCAAAAATCAAGGGGATTTGTAAAATAAATTCACTTTGAATAGACCTGTGACTTTCTGGTTTTCATTCATTCAAGTGGTTTCTGAATACTCACTGAGTGCCCACCATTGCTCCATGTGCTGATGACACAGAAAGCAACAAGTCAAAGTCCCTGCTCCAAAGTCACTCTCCTGGCTGGACACTTGGGGTGAGAGCTGTTAGGGTAAGGGAGAGAAGTCCCCACACATTTCCAGCTCTCTGCAGGTAAGGGATAAAGCTGTTCCCAGACACGGGCCACTGGAAAACACACTAAGGTTTGGGGGGAATATAAAAAGATACCAGAGAAGATCTGCCAGCACTGACATTGTCTGCTACATGCCCTAATCTATTTTTGCAGCCTCATTTCCCATTCCTATACTATTTGTACCCTCAGTTCAACTAAAATGTGCTACCAACTGTTAATGTGCCTCTGCTCCTGCTTGTTTCCTTAATGCCTTGCCTCCAACCATATTACCTCCACCAGAAAAAGCTCAACCAGCTGTCAAACCCCGTCTCAAATGCTGTCTCCTAGAGAAGACCGTTTCCTATTCCCTTCACACAAATCCAGATGTGATATTCCGGAGCACTTCAAACCCTTCTAACACTTGGCTTAGTCCCTTGTGAGCAGTTATCACACTGCACTGTATCAAAATTATCTGTATATTTTAATCTGTAATCAGTATACTCCTTTATCAGTTATTTACTGAGTACTTAACCATACTCCTGGACTACCTAGGAGCTAGAGTTGCAATGTTAAATCATCCCATTAGTATTTTTAAATACTTAATATCCAAATGATAAATAAAGTGTAGAGACAAAATATTGTATGTGCTTTTAATTGCTTCGATCTTTTTTAACAGTTTTGGTGAGATATAATTTACATACCATAAAGGTCACCCTTTCAAAGAGAATTCAATATATTTTTAGTATATTTACACAGCTGCACAAACATCATCATAATCTAATTTTAGGACATTTTAATCACCCTAAAAAGAAATCTTGTACCTACATTAGCAGTCACTCCATCCCTCTGTTCCTTCCTGCCCCACCTAGTCCTAGGCAAATACATCCTATCCTCTTTCTCTACAGATTTGCCTATTCTGGTCATTTTATATAAATGGAATCACACAAGATGTGGTCTTTTGAGCCTGGCTTCTTTCACTTAGCGTCAATTTTGAGACTGATCTATACTGCAGTATCTATCAGTACTTCACTCCTTTTTTGCAAAATAATATTTGATTATATAGATACACTTTTTATTTATTCATTCATCAGTTGGATGGACATTTGTGCTTCTACTTTCTGCTTATGAATAATGCTGCTATAATCACTTAAACACAAGTTTTTGGTAGGTATGTGTTTTAATTTTTCTTGGGCATATACTAGGAATGGAATTGTTAGGTCATACAGTAGCTCTATGTTTAACATTTTGAGGGAACTGCCAAACTATTTTCCAAAGTGACTGCACCATTTTTCACATTTCCACCTAACAGGTATAAAGGGTTTCAATTTCCTCACTACTGTCCGAATCTTATAGAAAAGAATGACCTCAATATACAATACCCTTATCCTCAGAGAATTTATATTCTAGTGGAATAAGAAAAAAAACAAACAAATCCAGAAATGAGTAAATATATTAATTTCATATAGTAACAAAGAAAAAGCAGAAAATAAAACAGGGTGAAGAAAAGACCTCTTGGAGAAGACCGGAAATGTGAAGAGCTGGAAACTGCTTTCCATTCCAAAGAGTGGAAGTAGCAAGAAATAAAACAGAGGGAAAAAAAAAAGTTTAGCAAGCTCAAGAAACAAAAGGAAGCTAGTGTGGCTGTATAATGAAGAGGCAGAGAAAGTCGGGGATGAAGTTGGGGAAGTAAGCCAAGGCCAGATAATGGTGGGCCTCAGAGACCATGATAAGATCTTTGGATGTTAAAATGCAATCACCATTTCTTAATTCCTTGTATTTTTTAAATACAGGTGATCACCTATGCAAACATTTACTGTACTGTCACGTATCTTCTAACTGCCTCTAACAGTAGCAAATATTAAAGAGACTATTTGGGTAAATGCACACTATTCAGCTAGTACCACTTACTTTGTGGCCCAAGAGAGAACACCTAAAACATAACTACCAATGGTGTTTGGTAATAGACCCAAACATACAAATTAATTCTTACAAATTTATTACCTAATCTGAATCAATTTAAGGTGTATGCCTTACTGACACTACCTTGCAGCTCTGAGTACATTCAGGCCATTTTCAATACAGCAAGCCAGTAAGAATATGGCTGCAGCTCATTCTCATAACTTAAACCTAGATTTCATTCTTTTAAATTAAATTCTAATTAACTGGCTGCTTTTCACCATTTCATTACTTTTAAATATTCAACTGCTAAACATAAAAAAACCTATGGGCACAAAACATTCATTGTACATGTTTCTATCTTGAGTCTTTTAAAACATTAACTTTTCACATACTACTGCTATATTTAGTTTATTCAAAGAGACAAGAAGTGTTTTGAAAACCAGTGACATAAATGCCCTTGATAAAAGAACCTGTTACCTAGACAACATTGATCAAGTTAAAATTCCCTTCTACCAACCCAGCTGAATATTCATGGCTCTCCCTCCAGGCACTATGCACTCTTGCTAAACCAAGACTACTTGCCAGCCTCATACTTGCTCCCCCTCCACCTCAGTTTTATGATACACATTCCCTACCAAGAGAAATCCAACCAGTTTTTCAAGATCCAGGGCAAACACTCTCATCTCTTTCTCTCTTCTCCAGTCCTCTTCCCTGAGTAGAACTGATTTCTCCCCTCTGTGCTCCTGCAGCAGTTCTGCGACTCAGATGTGTCTTACCCTGTTCTGCCTGGTACACGACAATATACAAGATGAATCTGCCTCTTGGACAAAGATATTGTCACCGAACTACTCCCTGCAGCATATCCTCAAGTACATACAGAATAAAGCTATTTGCAATTACTGGGTACTCAGTTGAAAATCACATCCAGGGTTGGTACAGTATCATACCAAATCATTACAAAATGCAAGGTCAAGAGTTAAGTCCTCTCTGGAGACAAGGCAGAGGAGTCTTCCTTCCAAATTTGGATCTAATTCTTCAGCAAATGGTTTCTTAATAAAGGACACAATCCCAATCTTTATTTACATGAACCTTTTCCAATTTCATTACCTATTCAAAAACTCTTCAACAAACCTTGCAACTCTATCGTAAGCTTATGAGTTATAATTACGAAGAATTTATGAGTCTAAACCCAGAACTTAGAGAAGATGAAAGTCCTACACAAGGTCAAACATAAGATAATCACGGGGACCAAAATATGAATGCTTCAGTATTCTATCCAAAACATCCTAACATGAAGAATCTGATCAGCAACTTTTAAAACCACCTATTGTGCTTGGAGCAGAGTAAATGTTCAAATATTTGAATTAATGAAGATGACTTAAAAATTTTTAATTGTGGAAGTCTATAATGCAAAAGTAACTAATCCTTAATCACGAAGATCATATTAACAGATTATTTCAAAACTCACTGTGCAGTTAAAACTAGAAAATAGTTCAGGAACGCATATACTAACAACCAAACCTTCTGCTATTAGTAATGGCACTGACCAGAAACCAATCCACAAAGCCACTGTTTCCTTCTTCACATGCTCCCAGAGGCGCAACAGACTAAACGTTATAGCTCACCCCATTTTCTAATTTCATCTTGCATTAAGATAACGCTTTTGTTTCATTTACAGCGCACATGCTGCTGACACAGCTGCCCCTTCTTTGTAATAAACACAGGGCTTCTATATTTAAAAATACAGTGAAACTTTGTTGTAACATCCCCTCCCCAGTCTCCGGCCAATTTTCTCCCTTCAAACCCCACCTCCACTCCAGGATTTTCTATCAGCGGCGGTCAAAATGTTAGGCCCTTTGAAAAGTCAAGTTTCTTCTTTAAGTTAAGACGTTTGATCAGAGTGCTATTTTTCTTCTCTGCAGCGCGTGAGCGTGCGGGCGTCCGCGCGCGCGCGCGTTTAAAAAGGGGATAAGAGGGGAGGGGAAGGGAGGGGAGAAGACTCCCTTCCCAAGCAAACGCACTTAAGTCCGGGGCTCTTGAAAGTGGGGTTCTTCTTGGGGAGACCTCGCAGGCTGGCCTCGGCCGCCGCGGGAGGGCTGGGTAGACACGCGGCCGATCGGGCGGCGCCGCGCAGATAGATGCGCGGACCCGAAGGCGCGCCAGGGGGCACCTGGGCTCGCCGGCCCGCCCAGGGCGCCCGCCGCCGGGAGGCTGCTTTCTTCTGGGGGCTCAGTAGGGGTTCTCGTAAACACCCGACGAAGAGAGAACGAGGGCTACTTGTGGGGCGCGGTGGCCGAGGGGAGGGGACAAGCCCGCCCCGGGTCACTTGGGACGGTAGGAGGGTGTGTGCCGTGGAGGGCGCGGGGAGTAGATAAGACAGGCCGGAGTTAATCATCACCTCCTGAGCGTCTAGAAGATGACTGCCCCGGGGCCGAAGGGGCGGGAAGGCAGCCTCGGGGGAAAGTGAAACCCCTTCCCAGCGGCTCAACCCCGCCGGCCTGAGAAGGGAGGAGAGGGACTCGGAGTGCACTCGCTCCTCCAGCCAGCCCGGCGCAGCACTAGTAGCTCCCGAAGACACACAGATCACGGCGCCCCTCAACAACTACCCTAATGCTCGTTCTCAACACATTCACCCGGAGAAGGGGATGGGAAGAGAGGCAGCGGTAAGGGAAATAAAAGTTTCCCCATGCCAATTTATAAAATAACACACTGTTCCCATACCGGGAGTCGAACCCGGGCCGCCTGGGTGAAAACCAGGAATCCTAACCGCTAGACCATATGGGAAGTGCTGATATGGGGCCCACGGTGACTCACCTGACAAGTGCAACTGCCGCCGCCGCGTCCTCGGCTCGCTCCCAGCACAGTCACTCCTGTGACCGCCTCTGCGCCACTCCAGCCGCTGCCCACGCGCTCCCCGGCGAAGGAACGAGCCAGGCCCGAGCGCGCGGGCGTCGCGGGGCCTGGGCGGGGCCGCTCTTCCGCCTCGGAAAAGTTCTTAAGCAAAGTCCAGCGACTCGCTACCCCGAAACCAACTATTTCACCTCTCTTTTTTTAATCGGCCAACGGCCCCAGCCTACGAGGCCGCGTTGCTCCGCTGGTCAGAGTTCGTGCGGACTACTTGGCAAAGTTGAGGGCGGCGACGTCTCCGCAACAGCTGTTTGCGTTCGGGGCGGAGGCGGCGCGCGCGCTCCTTGGCCACGAGCCAGCGAGCCTAGAAGGGCGGAGGTTCTGGATCCCGGGGAAAGAGAGAGAGTGAAGGCGGGGTGACGCGGGGACTTGAGGCTTGAGGATCCGTTCTTCAGCGCAGGTCCCGTCGTGCCTTCACCCCTTCTGGTGACCTCAACTCCTTTATACCGACCCCACCTCTCAGGGGCCGGGAGCACCGCCCCTGTAGGGGGAGGGGAGAGGAGGAGATTGCGAGCGCGGACTGAGTCGCCTGGGCACCCGTAGTTGGGAACCGTGGAACACTGGGCTCGGGGAAGGAGGGAGGTGCCGCGGCTTGGAGGCTCCGGTCGTTCTCGCGGTGGGTCGGGCCTTGACTCTTCCCGCGTGCGAAGTCGAGGCTCAACCGGAACCGGGGGCGACGCACGGAGCGGCTGATGCAGTCATGTGAGTCGGGTCTCGGCTCTAAACAACGCGGTGTTGTTTGGCCGGCCCTTTCTCGGCTGGGTCTCTCCCTCCACCACCATCCTTCCGCCCACCGCCCTCCCCGTCCTCCGGCTGGAGGCGTGACGGAGGCGCTCTTAACTCGCTCGCGACCGGCCCTAGACCGGCTGGGCCGGTTCACTGGGCGTGGTAGAAATGCGCCCCGGCGGGACGCCCCGGGGTGCGGAGCATGCATTCTCGGGACGGGGGCTGGCAGCCAGTTGGGTTGGAGGGCTGCCTGCGGAGGGGCGGAGGGCTCCCTCCACCTACGCAGTTGGGGGCGCCTGCACCCTTCCTTTCCTTTCGTGTGGCTCTTGAACCCTGGGGTATTGTGAAACCTGGATTCGACTGCGGCCACCGATGCCTCCAACGCCTGCTAGAAACCACCAACCCTGATTAGCGTAATGCCTTTTTTTTTTTTTTTTTTGTCTTGCTGGCTGAGAGGTCCCTTGGCTTTTCCAACTCTTTCTTGCCCAGAGGCCCAAAAACAAATTGTGTTAACTGATCTCTGAAGAACCACAATTTCCCGCCGGAGGAGTCTTGTGTTTTGTTCTTTTTTTTTGATTAAGGTATTATTGATACACACTCTTATGAAGGTTTCACATGAAAAAACGATGTGATTACTACATTCACCCATGTTATCGTGTCATCCTCCCCATACCCCATAGCAGTCACTGCCCAACAGTATAGTAAGATGCTACAGAGTCACTATTTGCCTTCTCTGTGTTGTGTTTTGTTCTTTTGGTGAAAATGATTTGCTTTAAAGCAAACTTTATGAGTTTCTGGCCTCCATTACAGCAACCTCCCAAAATGCCCGAAAGGAATAAAAAGAGTAAGTAATTTTTAATGAGATGTTTCTTATTTCTTCACACGGCAGTTAACAAATGAGAAAAAAAAATTTAAGGGAGTTTTAGATCTGGCGCAGACATTTTCTACTTTACTGGCAACAATTTCAGTTGACTGCTTCACTCAGATAAATAATAAAACAGGGTTCTGGGAATAACAAGGCAAGATTCAGTAGCAAGGGCTTATATTTCAAATTCTAACATGTAAAGCATGCAGAATTTTATCTTTTTTTAATTACAAATAAACTTAGACTTGTTTATCCCTTTTTCAGGGCAGACTACTGGAAGTCACAACCAAAGAAATTCTGCGATTACTGCAAGTGCTGGATAGCAGACAATAGGCCTGTATGATAATTCCATTAGTAGAGGTTCTAATAATACTGTATTCATATGAAGTGTTCTCTTTTGATCTAAGCTCAAGAGTTTACAAAGCACTTTCATATGCATTGCTCTTTGTTTTTTAGAACATTACTGTCTGTTTGCTCTTTCTAGAAAAGCTGTGAGCCTTCTTCCTTTTCATCAGGCTGAATTTGGTTATACATTGAGCCAAATTTTCTCTATGGCCTTTCAGTCACATTCAGGAAATGGACATTGAGTGGGTAATCTCATCAATGTTTATAAAACACGTTATGATTGTGTTACTTGTAATACTGCCATATATAAAGAAAAGTAAAAACAGAAAGCCCTTAATATGTAAGAAGAAACAACATTGTAGTTTTTCATGTTTTCTGCTCTGGAGATAAAATATATGATGCAGAGCTTTATATCTATAAATACTCAAATTTGAAAATATCATTCCTTCTTTTGTGGATATGAAAATAACTCTGCTAAACCCGTTATTTACTGTATCTCTTAGTCTAGATCAGATTTGAAGAAAAACGAAAGACAGTGCCATTTCTTTCCCGCTCACATGCATGTCATATTATACACATAATACATAAACCCTAGGGTATCTTACATACATACATCATTTTTACGTGGTGGAGTTGCGTGCACAAGAGAATAGTAGGTCCATCTTTAACAATGTTGTATTTCTTTGGTAGACCTTTTTTTCCTACTGTCTACAAGGAATTTGGGGATATTTTTCTTTTGAGTTTAGTTTTGGTTTTTGGACTTTTCTGGATAGTTGTTTAAAGTTTTTGACTATCTTCTTTGACTTAGGCAGTCGTTACAAATAAATGCCACACATTTTAAAGCCTACACAAATAACTGGTAGTCTGTCTTCCTTTGAGGTACCCAAGCAATTCAGTGAATTTTATGAGTTACCTAGAGTAATAATCCCTTCTAGAATAGTCTTTCTTCATCTTCTTAAATTGGTAATACACACATTGATTTGACATTTAATTAGAAACAAATTATTTTTGAGTGGGCCTTGGATAAAATCAACTTTAGGTAAACCAATATATGAAAAACAGGATGAACATCTTTACAAAGTCACACTTCAGAGAAGAATTCATGGTAGTACCTTAGAATACTCAGCTAATCCATCATAAAAGAGTTGACTGACAAAACTTACTTTGCAAAGTTCACCAGAAATTTCTTACTCCATACAAACAGACATTTGTAATTTAGGAAGCATTCTGGCTATTTTAAATGCATTCACTCACCTATCTCTGTCCCTGTGTATCTAGTTACCATCATTTCTTATAGGTTACTACTTTCTTCATTTTCTTTTCTATCCTTCCATTGTTTCTATATTCATTTACACATACATACATATATATACACACACACACATATACACATATGGGCTCTTAATCCAACATATATAAAAGGTAGCATATAAGCTGTACTGCACTGTTTTTTTTTAACTGAACAGTATTTAGTTAATACTGCATAGTAGTTGAATACTATTCACATCAATATGTGGGGAGCTTCTTTGTTCTCTACTATAGCAGACTAATTTTGATATAGTGCCAAATTGTTCTGCATAGGAGGTTTGCATTTTGTACCATAACAATATTGTATAAAAATATTGGTTTACAGTTTAGGAGGAATTTTTAAATGCCTTATTGTCTGTGTCGCTTACCTAATGTGGCAAATAGAGCTGTACAAATTCTAGAGACTTAACTGGTTTTTACATTTTATGTTGAGAGGTGTTTCTTGTCCACTCCTCTTTTGGCTTCACGTCTTATTTGAGTCCCCATTACAGTCATACTCATTAGATTACTCATTAAGAGTACCTTGTATTTTTCTCCATTAATATGGCCATCATAGTCTATTTTAGGCACCAAAGGAACCTCTTTAGAGGGCATAATAATAATGTGGTTCAGCTTCCTTGCATCATTCATTAAAAAGGGCCAATTTGCATTAAAATTATTTTTATCTTTTCTGCCAGGCATTTCAGTTTCAATTTTATGTTCCATTCCCATATTTACTGTTATTTAATGTGAACATTATGATGTCTATGTTGCTCTGTATTTTCTTTTTTCATTTTCAAGAGTGTTGAATTTCATGAAAGAGGAAAGAATCATAAGGAAAATGTGGCAAAGAGAATCAGTGAGGTAATTTAGTTTGCTTCTTTCTTTGTCAATTTTTCTATGTAAATATGAGTTTTTTATCTATCTAGCTTTCACTTTTATATGTATCTTACATAGATTAAACAGAAAAGCCTGGATAAAGCAAAGGAAGAAGAAAAGGCATCAAAGGAGTTTGCTGCAATGGAGGCAGCTGCCCTGAAAGCATACCAAGAAGATTTGAAAAGGCTTGGCTTGGAGTCAGGTAAAAAGGCAACCAGCGTGTTTTAAAAGTAACTCAGAGGTCATGCTAAGTGAGCTTTTATTGTTGCAATAAAGAGGTTATACACTCAGGGTATATACTCTCGGTGCTTTTCCTATTCATCATAGCCCTGTTTAGACTGTGGGCCTTTACTTATGCCCTTTTGTTTTTCTTTTAAAGCTTCATCTTTTAACACCTTCATTCGCAACAACCATACTACTTTGGTTGTCATCTAATCCCAGCTCTGTTTTAGGTCAGTGGCTCATTTCAGAGATACCTGACTTTTTTAGGTATTTTAATTATTAAGCTAAAAGAAACTGTTCATTAAAATATAGGCCTTGCGTTATAACAATAATTTACTTTATGGCCAAAATAGAATCATGTTTATTTATATGGTTGATTTATAGTGAATTAGCCTTTTGTGAACAAATTAACTGACTTGACTACTAGAAGGTAGATAATTTTTTCTTCTTTTTTAATTTTTTTACTGAATACGTTTTATATTGTGTAAATTTAAGGTATATAAGTGTTACTTTGAAAAATTTATATATAATATGATTACCATAAATCATATATTGTGATATCACAGTATTCACATTAAAATAAATATTGTGCCAATATTTATCACAGTATTGTGTATTAGATCTCTATGGCTTATTTACTACTCATTGCAAGCTTGTACCCCTAAATAATATCTCTTAGCTCCCCACCCCACCATCCCTTGGAAACACTTTTTCTTATAAGTCTTATTTATTTAGATTCCACATGTAAGTTATCATACAGTACTTGTGTTTCCTCTCTCTGACTTACCTCACTTAGCATAACATGCTTAAGGTCTATCCATGTTGTTGGAGGTGGCAGGATAGCCTCCTTTCTCATGACTGAATAATATTTCATTGTGAATATGTATGTGTGTGTGTGTGTGTGTGTACATACCACTTTTTATCTATTCATCCATTAATAGGCATTTAGATTGTTACCATGTCTCAGCTATTATGAATGATGCTGCAATAAACATTGGAATGCATATTTCTCCTTGAAAACCTCTTTATATTTACTTTGGGTATATACCCAGAAGTGTAACACCTGGATTGTATAAATCTATATTGTTTTCCATAGTGGTTGGACCAACTTACATACACCAGCAGTATATAAGGGTTCCCTTTTCACCACATCCTCACCAGCAAGGAGGTAAACAATTTGAGGATATAAGGATAACTCAGTTCCAGATAGAAGGCATTATTAAGTATAATGTACCAATATTGTTACTGAATTTATGCTTTAAGTTAGGAATTTCTCTGTGAGTAATTATCCCATGACAAATCACCACCCTTCTTAAACCAGGCATATAGCAGCAGATCTCAGTTGTGGATCTTGCATAATGGGTGGGATACACAACAAGGAATGGTAGGTACTCTTTACTCTCTAATAAAAGCTGCTTTCAGTTATGTTTTTAAGCAGAATAACAGTTGTTTTGGCATGATCAAATAAGAACCAGTTGTAACCAGACTTTAAAAAAACTCTCCTGGACATGGGGGAGGAGGGTGGTATTTCTAGGATAAAGCTATATGTTCACTTAAAGGGGAGAAAGGATGTAGGTGTTCCTACAGAATTAAAGAGGAGAAGTTGGAAATTCATCTCATCAGTGACATGGATTCCATTATACTGCCTTATGAGAGAATAAATCTTAGCATTTAAATTTAAACAGTTTTCCTATTAAATATTTTTCATAGTCTATTTCCTAAATATAACATACATTTTTCTAAATAAAACTGTACAAAGAAAAGAGTTTTTAAAACTTACTGCCCTTTTTCTTGACATTTTTAGAATTATTTTTATAAAGTTATATGGTCTGTTTGGGGGCTGTTTTATTTTTCCCCTCAGTACATCAAATGTCTTTTCTTAGAAGCTCCACATCCCTAAATTATAAGGGAAATGCAAATCAAAACCACAGTGAGATGTCACCTCACACCAGTTAAAATGGCCATTATTCAAAACACAAAAAATAACAATTGTTGGTGAGGTTGTGGATAAAAGGTAACCGTTCTACACTGTTGGTGGGACTGTAAATTGGTGCAGCTACTATGGAGGGTACTCAAAAAACTAAAAATAGACAAATCATACAACCTAGTAATTCCATGTCTAGGAATTTACCCAAAAGAAAATTGAGTCCCTGGTTCAAAAAGATACATGCAACCCCTATGTTTATCATCACATTATTTACAGTAGCCAAGTTGTGGAAGCAACCTAAGTGTCCACCAATGGATGGATGGATAAAGATGTGGTATATATACACAATAGAATATTACTCAGCTGTAAAAAAAAAAGGAATCCTGTCATTTGCAACAACATGGATGGATCTAGAAGGTACTATGTTAAACTAAATAAGCCAAGTGGAGAAAGATCAATATCATATGATTTCACTTACTTGTGGAATGTAAAACCAAACCAAAACAAACAAAACAACAGTAGATTCATAGACACTGAGAAGTGACTGGTGGTTACCATGGGGGGTGGTTGGGGTGGGTGTGTGGGGAGGGTCAAGGAGATAAAGGGGCACAAAAATTCTCAATCATTACCAAAAGGGAGGGGTTGGGAAATGGCAGGGGAGAGGAAAGGGGATAAAGAGGCAAAATAATTCACAGTCGTGATATAAGGTGGTCATGGGGGGACAGTAGTACAGCATAGAGAATACAGTTAATGATTCTGTAACATCTTAACTACATTGATAGATAGTGACCAAACTAGAGAGGGTGAGGACGATGTGAGGATTTAAATAATATGGTTAACTAACTGTTGAACCACTGTGTTGTGTGCCTGAAACCAGTATAAGATTGTGTATCAATGATAACTGCAATAAAAAATATTTTAAAATACATCTTTTAAATAATTAAAGATATACATAGTAGCTACAGAGGGGCTAGGAGCACAGGCTTTGGAGTAACCAGAATTACCTCTTGATAGGTTTATGATCTTCAGTTTTTACAAAAATTAATGTAATGGTATAAATTACTTAGTGACCACTTGTAACAAGTGTTTAACAAAGATTATAATATGCCATAACTTAACCAATTTCTACCTGATTAACATTTAGGTTGCTTAGAGTTTTTCACTGTTAGAAAGATTCCTTCGGTGAGCATCCTTATGCATGCATGTTTTCACTTTTTTCTCTGTAGGTTCAATCTTGAATTGAGATTGCAGAATCAAAGTATGAATGTATTTTACATATAGATAGTAATACCAAGCTCTCTTCAGAAATGTTGGGCTGATTTACACTTTTGCTAGAAATAAAGTTAATTTATTAGCTGGTGTTGGGAGTAACTGCCAATCCTTTGGAAAAAAGTAGAGTCATAGAAACTACTTACTCTTTCACACCATGTAAAATACCTGATGAATAGACTAACACTGAATTTGGTCATTCTCTTCAGGACTTACTGATCTAATGCCAAAAAATATTTATTTGCATTTCTCTGAATATTAGTAAAGGTAAATATTAATTCACTGAATTACCTTTGTACTTTTTGCCCATTTTTCTTTTAGAATGTTTAACTTCTAAGAGATCTTTCTTAGGAATATTAGCCCTCTGGCTTATTTGTTGTAAATATTTGTCATTTGTCTTTATTTTGTTTTTATTTTTGTAATACAGAATATTTGAATTTTTAAAAAGTCAAATTAACATTGATTTACTCTATTCTTTTCATATACCCACCTTCAATATGGAATTTATGGTGTAAAAAACATGGGACAGACTGGGGAATAAGGAGTAGCTTTACTTTTTTCCAAATAATTAACTAGCTAGTACAACATCGTTTATTAAATGGCCTCTTTTTCTCTTTAAAATAAACACTAGGAGTCTGCTATTGGATCTGTTTCTGTGCTTTTCTGTTTCAATCTAATGTTTGCCTACTCATAGGTCAGTTTTACACTGCTGATTTTTTTTTACCGTAGTTAAAAGTTTTAATACCGGTAGTATTAGAGTCCCTTCATCGCTTTTTTTTTTTTTAATTTTGGTATCATTAATCTACAATTACATGAAGAACACTATGTTTACCAGGCTCCCCACCTCACCAAGTCCCACACACACACCCCACTACAGTCACTGTCCATCAGCGTAGCAAGATGCTGTATAATCACCACCTGTCTTCTCTATGTTGCACAGCCCTCTCCGTAACCCCCCCAACGCTATACATGCTAATCGTAATGCCCCCTTTCTTTTTCCCTGCCCTTAACCCTCCCTTCCCACCCATCCTCCCCAGTCCCTTCCCCTTTGGTAACTGTTAGTCCATTCTTGGGTTCTGTGAGTCTGCTGCTGTTTTGTTCCTTCAGTTTTTCTTTGTTCTTATACTCCACATATGAGTGAAATCATTTGGTACTTGTCTTTCTCCACCTGGCTTATTTCACTGAGCATAATACCCTCTAGCTCCATCCATGTTGTTGCAAATGGTAGGATTTGTTTTCTTCTTATGGCTGAATAATACTCCATTGTGTATATGTACCACATCTTTATCCATTCATCTACTGATGGACATTTACGTTGTTTCCATTTCTTGGCTATTGTAAATAGTGTGGATAGGGGTGCATCTGCCTTTTTCAAACTGGGCTGCTACATTCTTAGGGTAAATTCCTAGAAGTGGAATGCTGCAATGGAGGCAGCTGCCCTGAAAGCATACCAAGAAGATTTGAAAAGGCTTGGCTTTTCAAATGGTATTTCTATTTTGAGCATTTTGAGGAACCTCCATACTGCTTTCCACAATGGCTGAACTAATTTACATTCCGAGCAGCAGTGTAGGAGGGTTCCCCTTTCTCCACAACCTCGCCAACATTTGTTGTTGTTTGTCTTTTAGATGGTAGTGATCCTTATTGGTGTGAGGTGTTATCTCATTGTCGTTTTAATGTGCATTTCTCTGATGACAAGCAATTTGGAGCATCTTTTCATGTGTCTGTTGGCCATGTGAATTTCTTCTTTAGAGAACTGTCTATTCAACTCTGCACATTTTTTAATTGGATTATTTGCTTTTTGTTTGTTGAGCTCTTTATATATTTTCATCACTTCTTTTTTATAATTCTCCTGAATATTTGTGCATGTTTAGTTTTCCAAATAAGCTTTACAATAATGTTTCAGGTTCCCAAAAGAATCTTCTTGTCAGCTTTTGATTGGAATAATATTAATGTTTTCTATCAGCATATACAAAAAAAAAGTTACATTGGCTACTTTACCCTTATCACATCTGTTTTCTAGAAATTTCAGAGCCAAGCATATCACCAGTAGCCAGCACTGTCCCACCTCCCAGTGCATCAAAACAGCAGAAGGAAAAAAAGAAAAAGAAAAAAGATCCTTCAAAGGGCAGGTGGATAGAAGGCATAACCTCTGAGGGTTACCATTACTATTATGATCTCATCACAGGAGGTAAGTCATTCAGGCTTAGAATAGTAGAGAATGACTACTAACAGTTTATCTTATGTTAGGACTTTAAGTTATATTGAAACATTTAAACAATGAAAGACTATAACTTTACATTTTGCCACAATGGCAAAAAAATTATGTCTCCTTTAAAAAGGTAACCTCATGGTGACTCGTGTTATATGTCATACTTAATTAAAGCCTTAATAGTGGGTTCCTTACAAATAAGCTACAGCTTTATATTTTCTCAATGAAACCTTCTTAAAGTATGAACTATATATAAATCATTTTATGTGGAAATAAGACATTTCAGATCCACTTAACATCTTATATTATAGAGTTCTTGAAATAAAACTTACTGTGAAAGAAATTTTCTATCCAAAAGCAGACTGGGAATCAGAAACTGCTTTCTTTTTAATGTAGTTGTTTTGAGTGACCTAGTAAAGCACTCCCATCCTATTAATGTTTTGGATAGTTCTACAGAATACACAATGGTGTTTTTCAGTAAGACTATCAAAAACATGTTTTTGTTTTCCTTTAAGACTAAATGTATATAGGATTTTTATTCCATATAAATTCTGAGATAAATGCATTTATTATACATTTATCTAGCATCTTACTCCCCAGAAACCTAAAATTTAGTGTCATGTATAAACAAATAAGCTTGATACAAGGAGGAATTTCAAAGTTCTATAATATAAGAGATGTAATTAAGATTATATGGGAGTTCAAAATGGTGAGGAATTATGATTATGTGGATCTGAGAGATTGTCACAGAAATTCCTTTTGAGCTGACCTATAAGCTAAGATGAGGACATCATTACTGATGTCATCTTATTCACCATTTGTACCTGTACCATCTAACACAGTACCTGGTGCAGATACTTCATAGGTATTTTGATTGAAAAAGATTACAATAAGTTGTTATAAGCGTATGGCAAGCATTCCAGACAGGTAGAATAATATGAACCTTAAAAAAGATTTTGAAGGTTTGGGAAATTGTCATCTGGTAAAGATAAAACATTAGGTTCTTGAGCATGTCATGGCAGAAGAAAAAGGCTGGAAAAATAGATTGAGGCCATATCATGGAGGGTTGGGAGGATGATGGTGCCACCTACTGAGAGAGAAAACAGAAACAGAATAAGTGAAAGTGGGATAGTAATGAATTCAGTTTTGGATATGTTGAGATTGAGGTACCTATAGAACATTGCTGTGGCAATTTCCAGAATCTAATTGATGATTAGAATCTGGAGTTGAGGTAAGTTGAGTCTGGAAATGTAGATAATACGTTAACTTGTAGGAGTATATGAGATCACAAGGAGGGAAAAAACAAGAAGTAAAAGGGTGGGTAGTATGTATATGAAAGGAATGGATAGAAGAAAAGCCAGGAGAAAAGTTTAGAAAACTTAGGAAGGTAGGAAAGGAGATCAGATCGTTAATCATGAAACCTTGAACTTAAGGTATTGTTACATGATCTTTAGAATCACAGTCAGTTTGGGACTACAAAGAAGTAGTAATAATCACTCAAGAGTTTGCACTGAGCCTTAAGTGAAGTGCATGTTACAGTTCAGCAGTGAATCATCAATTGTTATATTATATGCTAAGGCTTATCTTTCTCAAGTTTACATAGAAACAATTAATTATGTCTTTTCTCCCTTATAGTGCCTATTGCTTGCTTGCTTTGTTCACCATCCTATTTTATACTCTTGCTCTCAGCAGTACTTATTTTTAATTCCTGCATATTTCATCTTGTTCCTCTTCTGAGTCATTCATTCCATTTCTCACTCTACACTGCCCCAAGATGTTAAAAAGCCATTTCATTCCTTCAAAACATACTAAGCCTGAATTTCATGAAGTCTTTAAGAGAAGCTCTACCTGACTATAATTCCTATAGAAGTACCAGTAACTTTTAACCCTTCTTTCTTCTTCATTACATAGCATTCACATGTATTGTTTTGCACAATGCTATTGAGATGTATGTTCTTTCTTTTTATTTTTTAGTTTGTTTTTGACTATAGATCTGTAGTGTGTTGTATACATTGAGTATCTTGAAAATTTTTGCCAGATTAAATTTTTTGGAAAGTTTTTTTTTTTAAGCCAAAAAATTTTATAAATACAATATATCTTGCTTTAATTAAGCATCTCAGTGGGAGAAACCTGAAGGATTTCAAGGAAACTTAAAAAAGGTAACTGAAGCACATTAATAGTGTCTTTGCTTTATTTTTTAAAGTGATTGGCTTCTGGGGTTCTGTAGTTCTGTTAAGCAAATTTACTTCCAAATAAGTCCCACACATACACTTTGCTCCTTTATTCCTGTAGTCCTTTCATTAAAAGGCTGGGTGGAGGTGAAAAAGTGATGTCTTCCCAAAAATTCTGTGCAGGGAAAATATTAGTTGGTTTGTAGTCTACTGCCATACACATGATCCTGTCCATCTGCAAAGAATTGTTCCTGGCTTTCAAAGGTGAGACAGTCTCTCCCTGAAAGTTGGCCCATGATACAAACCAAGCTTCTTGGCTATGGTCAGTGCCCCTAACTCCCAGGTGCCAGGAGGAGAGGAAAGGGTGGCTGACTGTTAGTTATCTAATAGATAACCACATTCTTATCTTAGTTTATACTGATTTTTTTTCCTCCTGTTAGGCAGCAGTGAAGACTGTTTGGGTAGAGGGTCTCAGTAAAGATGGCTATACCTATTATTATAATACAGAAACAGGAGGTAAGTATTGCCTTTGATTATCTAAACTATCTAAAATTATACCTGAAACCTGCTGATGAATCAACTGAACTTGGAAATTTTAGTATAGCAATAAACATTTCCACAGCAAGTGTGTATTGTTTTTGTAATTTAAGAACATTAGTAAAAAGCAGAAAGATTTCCACATGTAATATACTGTGCTGCTCGTTCTCAATTGATAGTGCATTCACAAGTTTTAAAAAGAATCATTGTTGCTTTCTCTACCATTACTGATTTTAATCATGATTATTTTAGAAATAGTTATTACCTTGAAAGATAACTTAGAAATCACCTAATTCAACTTGCCTGTTTCCTTTCTTAAAGAACAAAGCTGAAGCTGTTTTAGCAATGGCTGAGATTGTCACATTTTCTTTTACTAATTTGATAACATTTCAGTTATATAAATATTTATAAAACATGCATAATTATTATTATCTAAGTTTTTCAAATTAAGATTTTATCTAATTTAATAAAATTTGTCTTCAAGTAATTGTATTTAGTTTCTACTGCAATTAAATTTACCAAAGTAGCTATAGTATTGTTTTAACTTTGGGATGGTTAGGTTTTTTTTATTTAATCCTGCTATCCAAAGCCCTCCACATAACATTAACTCTTTAAGGAGGAAAAGGGCCCCTTTTATCCTCCAAGTAGATATCTAGTCCCCCTAATGATAGTAATGGTTCTATCTCAGTAAAGCTGAGGTCCTACATCTTTATAAAGTACTATAGCGACACAACTCTAGAGCTAGATCTGAACTCAACACACAGTTTCTTCCCTACCGGCTACATGATTGTGGGTAAGTCCCTGAGCCTATAATTGCTCTAAAGTAAAATAGAAGTAATCATATGTTCTCTGGTGTCATGAGGGTGAGGTGTCTATAAAAAGTTCCTAAAGAAGTACCTGATACATAGTGGTATTTGATAAATGATTTCCTGAAAGTTCTTTGTGCAGTATGGATAAGGAAATGATGCTTTTCATTAGTGCTGGAAAGTACTCTGTATTAATAAAGGACTGTACATAACTGATTTACTCCCAACAGTTTCAGTCTATATCTGGAACAGCATATTTATTAGTAGAGTCACTTTCACTCCTTAAATCATCCTAGATGGACAATAAATTTTAGAATCTCTTTCTTTTTTAGTAAACTAAAAGAAAATAACTACACGATAATTGGAAATGCTATCATTTTACTAAAAGCCCATTACACCACTGGATGGCAGCAGAGTTCAATCAAAATTTTTTCTTTTCCCCAGTACACAAGTGCCAGATGATATTCATGCAAATCTTCACAGTATGATTTCACTTTGTGAGGATTCCAGGAAATGTGTCTTCATGATAAATGAATTCTGGGAAATCTGATGTGTACTTACTATCACATATGTTTACTGAAATTGCCATCAGGTAATTTGTGAGAGTCCTTAGAAAGTATTGCCCAGTTCTTAAGTCTCTTTCCACTGGGGCTATATAGTTTATACATCTGGTGAATCCAGATTGTTTGAAATCAATTTATGAAAGCTACCAGAGCAAGAGCTTTGGGAACTCCTGTTTATTCCTGGTTAAGTGATTGTGTGAAATAGATGCAGTGTTATCATCTAATATTTAAATGGCAGAAAACATTATATCGGGAATTACTTTAGAACTGGTAACTAAGTAACATGACTATTTAAAATGTGTTGAATAGAATCCAGATGGGAAAAGCCTGATGATTTCATTCCACACACTGGTAATCTGCTTTCTAGTAAAGCCAGTGAAAAGTCACTTGGCACCCTGGAGGAGTCCAAATCATCAGATGTGCACAGTGATTCTGATGGGGAAAAGGAAGCAGAAAAAAGAGAGGTCTCCACAGAAACACAAAAGCTAAAAATAAAGTTTAAGGTAGGTTCTTGATTTATTCTTTACAAAAGTGTATCAATTTATGAAAAGCCCTACAGACTTACTCAGTTTTCTGTAGAAGCTATAAATAAAGCCAAGATATATGTTTTGGCAACTAGATAAATGGTTGTGTCATTTATTAATATCTATTTGGTAGCAAGAGAATTCATTTTTAGACCTCCCCAGTTTGAGATGCCTCTGTAACATTCAGAGAGAAATCTGAATATGCAAGCCTGAATATCTAAATTAGAAATTCTAATTTGGTTATTTTCAGCATATTGGTAGTCATTTAAACCTCAGAATGGAAAACGACCTTGGAGAATGTTAACCATTTAAGTGGCAGGCTGAGACAAAGAGAATCTCACAGGGTAGAATGAGGAAAGAATGGTTTAGAAGGGTATGGAGAGAAGCAGAATAATTTAATATTCCAGAAGCCAAAAATAGAGAAAAGAACATCAAGGATTAATTAGGACTAGGAAAAGAAAATGGTCCATTGAATTTTACAGTAAGGAAGTACTTCATGCTCTTCCACCAGTTTCACCAGAGTTTGGGGTGGCAGAACCCAGATTACAGAGGGATGAAAAGTAGTTCACAGTCTATATGTGGTTGGGATATGAAATGGAAAGTAGAAAGTAGGTAATAGAATATTGGCTACATGTTGACTCTTACTCATGAGAGATTTATGGTGGTTGTGTTTTCCTTGAGAGGACTCTAAATGAGGTAGAAACGGAATACCAACCGGTGTAGGTGGATAGATTGGTCTTAAGGAGTGAACTCATTTTCTGTAAGAAGGTAATGTCATTTTTTATAAGGTGTGACTGTGGATGAGTTGGTATCAGGAAATTAAGAGTCATGCCTTTAAACTCAATTTATTGATTCATAAACAAATCAAGATTGCTTGCTGAGGGTAAGGAGCTTCAGGGAGTTTGACAATACTGATGGACTGAAGTAGTCACTGAGCTGGGATGCGAGAGGAAATGAAACAAGTAGGAGGATTGACTAGTGGTGCTGATTGCCCAACCTTGCTGGGAAAGTAAAAACAGACATTGTAATAGTATTGCTAGTCCCCCTGCCTTTGTGACCTTTCCAGGATCACTCAGGAACCCAAATGCCAAAGCAAAGAAGATGTATATGAGTGACCCATGGTAGAGATTACTGACCTGAAGGGTGAAGGAAAATAAAGGATGCTGGCGACAGGGTACTTCCAAGGCTACAACGATCTTATCTTTGCTTGGAATTTAACATACCCCATACATCTTGGTGGAACTTAGCTTGAGGGATGTATCTATAGTTTGTGAGGAGCAGCAAAGCCCCAGTTAGAGTAGCCATCTTGCAATATTTATAGTCAAATTTAAGTAACCCAGCCTCCAACGTGGGATGGATATTACTAATTTTAAGCAAACAATATACTGAATACAGATAAACCACCTATTATCCTGCTCCTAATACCCAGAAGAATCACTATACTACCTTGGTGTTTATTAGTCTAATTTTTTACTATTCAGACACACATACATTAATTTAAACAAAATATAGAGTCATAGTGTAATATCATTTTTCAATTTCATCTGTCACAAATACATCAATAAGCCTTCCATCTACTGAAATGATGGATAGTGTTCTGTGATATGAATATATTATTCATCCCTATGTAACTGAGTATTTTTAATAACCATGAAAGGGACTAGGGGAAGAAATAACTGGAGGTACATTATTAAAGCAGTATTGAAGTCTCTGCCGAGGTTGGATTTTATACATTTTGAGATCTCAGCACTTTGTATGGTGGTGTGGTTTTTCTCCCCCCCTCAGTGATTGGATAGATCTGTGTTGGAGGTTTGCAATATCTATGCGATTGACAGGCACAAGGACAAAGATATTCAAGGGTATAAGCAAAAGAATGTTCATAAAGTGATTCCTTATGCAATTGGGGCTCTGTAATTAAGGGTGTAAAGTCTAGACAAGATCAGCAAACCAAGAACATAAGGAGAAGTTAAGATATTAAAGAAATTATTAAGATTGGAGAAGGTATAATGAGGTTGGACAGGAGGTATAGTAGAAATAAGGCAGCCAGCAAGTCGAAAGAAAATACTCTGGTCACAGGATGGGCTTTTAGAGTTTAAAATTTCACAGGTGGGGCATTTTTGAGTGATGACCTAGTTCAAATTAAAAGGAATATAGCTGAGAGGATTTAATATTTGAATACTCCCTATACACCAGGTGTTATATATGAGGAAAACTACCTTGTATAATACTAGGTGACTAAAATACAGTGAAAGCCAGTCACTTGATTTTAGGCTGATAAAACTGAAGCTAGGGAATTTTTTAACTCTTGGATAACAAGAGTGAGTAGATGGAACATGATGCTAAAGTTGCCAAAGTGATTAGTGAACAGGTAGTGACTGTAGGTCATCAGATCATGTAGGGACGAATGGAAGAGGTTTGTGTAGAAAGCGGTATGAGCTTCAGAGGAGAAGGTACTTACTGTGAGAGGATCAAGGCATAAATTATCATGACCCCAGTAAAACTGTTTCATTAAAAGTCATGGCCTGGCACAGTCGCAGGGGGGCCATCAGGTGAGAAATTGGGGATCAACAGAGGTGAGGCTTAGAACCTCACCCCCCCTGTTTTGAGAGAATCTTCTGCATCCGTGGATGTTTTATTGCCCTTGTCTAGCTTGGATTAACACATAGTCTACAGG